ATGTTTCGACTCATAGTGCCGTCTCAAGTCATATTCTTTAAATACAGCCACAGTAGCTCCACAAACAAGGCACACAGCCTTATCTTCAATGTCAACAAAGACGTACTCTGCCTCCCACCTCTTTTGAAAGCATTTTTTTTCAAAATCCACTTTCCGTTTGGCCATTTTGGCTCTGCTGAGCCCTGAAGAAGCACCAATCAGCTGGAAATCAGCACTGATCCTGGCGCTTCTGCTGAGCCCAGAAGAAGTGCCGATCAACTGGAATGTTGCAGCATCTCCAGGGTCTTGTGATTTACATTCAGATGCTTGGCAACTGATTCATATTTATGACGGTCAGTGTCCCAGGGTCATGTGAAGTGACCAAAATCTGCTGCAACCACCCAGCAGATGGGAGGAATAAAAACCAAATACCCCCCACCCCACCCCCGCTGCCAATCCTCAACAGAAATGCTCACAACAATGAAAACCTTGGACAGGAGGAAGACCGCTGCCGGGTGGGCAGGCAGGTGTCTTGCTCGGCTGTGGCTTGGGGGGCATTTTTTTCAGTGCCATTGTAACTTCGAACAGTCACTAAGCGAACTGTTGTAAGTAGAGGACTACCTGTACTTTATCACTTTTTTTCCTTTTTTGGGGGGTCAACTTTTTGACACCTTTCTAGGCGACTGGCGGTACTCGAATATTGCCATATCCTAAAAGTGGTACAATGGGTGAAAAGGTTGAAAAGCCCTGCCCTATATAATGATTTAGGCAAATTTGAAAAAAAAATGAAATATTTTATTGATTTTCTAATATTACAATTACATATTTGAAAAACAATGTAGTGACTGGATTACAATAATTCAATTACATACAAACATCATTAGTACAAATCTCCAACAAATACAGTAAAAATTTCCTCTCTTTCCCCCTTAATATGTATTGTTTCTTATTTAAATTAACATAATTTTTATTCTAACAATCAAATAAAGGCAACTGTCTTAAATTTATCAATAATTTTGAATTTGTGTGTATCTTAACACTCAATCTTTTAGACAATCAATAACCTGGTGACTTTTTTCCCAATTTTAATTTTCCATTAATATTTAAATTTAACGTTAATATTTATCATATCCAAATTTTAGATGACTCCAATTTCCTTTATCACAATTCCTCATAAAATCTGG